TGTAATAATATACGTGCCAAGGCTCCGCTCCACACCATCAACCTCCTGCATAATCAGCACTTATTCTGCACACAGAAGCTCTGATGCAGAATATGGATTAGAAACCTGTACTGTGGCATCGACAGGAAAGCTTTGCCACAGAATGATTTGTTACTAATTCCTAAGGTTGGCTTCATTTCAAAGATTGGATTTTTTAAATTTTATTTTAATAGTAATATTACCAAAGGCCTATTCAAATTCATTTTCTGCCACTTATCCTGCTCTCCACTCTTACGGCCAGCAATTTTCATGTCTCAGTGCTTGCTGGACTGTTTAATTAAAAACTACACAGCATCTTTAAGAGTAGGTATACATCGATATTCAAGTTTACAGACAAAAAGGTGGAGCTACTCAGAGGTTAAATCATCTGGTGTCTCACATCGAGCAACAGAGGAATTTCGAAGCATGGATCTGTGCTTTTTCCACTAGAACAACACTTCTGTTGTATTCTGTCAGGTAAATATTTTAGCCTCTTCTCACAGCACAAGTGAGGAATACAGCCAGCCACATCTCCTTGGATATTTGACAAGAACTGATCGTTATCTCTTCGATTGGTTTCCACAGTCACAGTCATTATGTTCTCTTCGGTACTTTACATTTAAAAAGCCTATGCAGTTACTTACGCAAACTTTTTCCACAAAAACAGACCAACTAACACTTGTTTTTCCATGGCCTTACTTACATTAACGACAAAGGTTCATGCATTTAAAAGTTCTTAACGAGGTTTTGTTGTTGTTGTTTGTTGTTGTTGTTGGGGGGTTTTTTTTTAATCTATCAGAGGAAAATAATAAGAATAAATTATTAAATACATACACTGAAATATAGACTAGGTCAGAATGAAGTCCTTGATCTGTGATTTTCAACAAAGAATCCAATACAGGACAAGTAATAAAGGAAAGTTAGCGGGCAGTTCTCTGTGAATTTTAAGACACTGAGGGTCACTAACATTTCTGAACATATTCACCGCAGCAACAGTTTTATCATCATCTCTGCTATTTAACTTTAGCAACAGTGTTAGCCACAGGACCTACCCAGTTTCTGTATTTACATGCACATTAATGCTGTGTTTTTCTCTGCCTTCAGACAAAACAGTTCTTAACCCTGTGTCCAGCTTCCACGTACTACAAGTACTACTGCTCACAGGACAGAGAAAATGCCAAGACGGTAAAAGATCTCCTAAGACTGATACTGTGCAGTGTTTGAGGATTACAATCATCACTAGCAAAGACTTAATGTGACAAACCACTGTGGTTTAGGCATAGGAATGATGAGAGTAGACTAATTTTAGTCCTAAACTAGTGTTACTCTGGCCTTGCTGTGTGTAACAACTGTATAATCAATCTTGTCTTTATCTTTTCTTTGATACTTAAACATGCAGAAAACCATGCTGGTCTGACACGTTAGCATTTTCGTTGTTACTTTGTACGTTTCCCAAGGCTTCGAAAGAGAAACTGGCTTCCCATACAAATTTCCTATTGTTCAAAAAAAAAAAAATTGGTTTTAACTCCCACAACAGAAGACAACCAAACATCACAAGATGACACATTCCCACTGTGGATATGGATCTAGGAAAAAGCTGAGCAGCAAGCTAACAAAAAGCTAAGCCCTAAGACCTTCAGTTAAAACATCCTGTGAAGAGGATTGTGTTCAGCTACATCAAACTCTCTGCACAAAACCGAAAGACAGCTTCTGACAGAAAACCTTTGGAAATGGCCAACCATACCGCAGGAAATTCAAGATTTGTCAATAACTGTTAGCAAACAGGTTAAAAGAACTGCATGACATCCCAATTTAACATCTGACATATACCTATTTACATATTACTGACTACGCGATGTACTCTAGCTGACTGTGCACCCCATGGGAGCCAGGCATACTTTCAAGAGCTTTGCTGAATTGGGTCTGGAAGGTCTAACAAAGTGAAGGAGGTTTATGGAACAGTTAAGTACTTATACAGGACCTTCTCCACCAACATCTGTGTTTAAGATAATCCTTAATGCACTTATCATGCCCATGTTTCATCTAAATTCTCTCTCTTCCCCCTCCCCCAAGTTTCCCAAGACAACAAAATTTTGCATAAAGTTTCTTTTCAGAAATTCTATTTCCCTTCCCAAATATAAAATGCTCTGGCTACTTCTGCAGCTACTGTCTGAAATGTGAAATCACTTTGGTTAAAAGGGAGCAGAGAAGATTGCAAGTGGTTGAGTATCACCTTTAAATGTGCCCTTTAGCTGAGTCATGAGAATTAGTCACATTCAACCTCCCACCTAAGACACAACTGCAAAATACACTTTGGTATCCAAGCCACCATCCAGAGGCAGCATATTTGAATTTCTGCTCACAACAGGGTAGGATCAGACAGGATCATTTTAACGCTGTGACTTTTCAGGCAGCAGTAACTAGGTCATTTACTACCATCTGTTCTCAGACTTAGCCTCCCTGCAGTCATCAGCAAAGCTGAGGGCTAATTAATTTTCACCTGCTAATCAGTGGAGACACCTCTGAAACTAACACAACACCCAGGTTCAGTCAGTGGCTTCTGGACCCTTGTGGGCAGCATTTTTGTGAGATTCTATTACCAATAAAGTTTTCTCTGAAAAAGGATCCCCTGTAAGGTGTCTGACCTGCCCTGGGTACCACAGCCCTGTGGAAGGATAGTGCTCTTCACCCGATTCTTCAGGCAATGAACAGAGGGTACAGCGACAATCAATCATTGCCTCCAAATCTTCATGAAAGAAAGTACTGAGGCACCTTGTTAATTTTGATATGAGAAGTTAAGCATTGAAATGCTTGTCGATACAGACTTAAAAGACCTGCTTGAGGTCTCACGGGAAGTCTGTGAGGGAGCATGGAACTCAATCACATTTTCCCAAGTCCTAGGTAAGCACTCTAACCACTGCAACATCCTTCCCTTGCCATGTAGCTTTAAACAGGGTGAGTAGCTCACTACGACGTCACTGAAACCTCATCTTGAACTGTGAGAAGATTAATACATAGCTCCAAACCAGAATGGTTGTATTTCATTTCTTCTGAAGACTGACGAAGCAAAACTCTTAATACCATATGCTCTTCAAAGCTACCAGCTCTAACTAGTGGCACAACTTACACTGAACTTTGGGTTTTGTTATGTACGTGTTTTCCATGTGTGTATCTAAAATTCCTTTTATAAATTTAAAAAAAAAAAAATCACATTCTTCAAAAGAGCTGATTTTGGCTTCGTGGAACGATGCTGCTTTTAAAAACAAACTGTCGCATTATCACAGCAGTGTTACTTTGACTTAGTAGAGACTGTAAAAGGAGCCAGAGGAAGAATTCGTGTAGATAAATAGTGAAAAGAAGTATCTGTAGATCCATGAAAGCTGCTCAATGAGAAACAAAATGGCAAGAGATTAGGGTCTAGTTCCTACACCGCTGGCTGCTATTCTGTATCGCGGTACCTCAGGTGGAGCTCGGAGGAGTATGATTTACCAGGTGTGAACCATGCGCAGCATTCACAAATAGTCCTCACTAAGTAAGGTCAAAATAACAGCCTATTATTCACTCTCACGAGTATGTAACAACTCAGAACAGCAGCTAGCCAAGTAGGGCTGCCCCTAGATTGTAGCAAGGACAGTTCCTCCACAAATTCCCCACACGCCGTAGCCACAGTGACTGGACGTGGTTGTCAGCTCACCTGTATCCAGCTGCAGCCGGTCAATAAACTACGGCAATCCTATCAGTGAGGATTAGACATAATTCTAAGGGATATAAAGTGTAATCCCAACTTTTCAAAATGCATGACAACTATATAATACAGCAGAAGTAAAAGAACCAGAAAAATACATCCTTAGAGGCTGTTCTTTTGGTCAGAGGGTAGTTGCTGGTGCATCACATTCTCAGGCTTGCAGCTGATGCTCCAAGGGTGCAGCCGGGCGTCTCCATGCAGTCGCTTACAGGGTTGGGGTCTAACGGTCACAGTGCCATGCAGGTAAGAAATGAAAATGCACTGTGCCCCGGATCAGAGTACAGTGAACTTCAAAACCAGGATCCCAGTCCAAACCAAACTGCCTCGACTTTATGAAAAGCAGAGGTCATCCATGCGGGGATATTAAAATCACTTTTTTTGGTGCACAAAGTTTTTTGCACAGGTAGGGACGACAGAAAAAGAGAGAATAAACATACGTAGGAACACTCAGAACTGCACATGTGCAGAGGAAGGAGGAGCAGAGCAGTCGGCACTGGAACTCTGACTTTGATCCAGACCTGACCCTATGCACCGCGTGTCAGACCCCGCACACTGGAGACGCACTCCTCCACCTTTCCCTTTTCTCCCAGCAACGTGCTACGAGTGGTAACTCAAACACTGCGCCTGACCTTGGCTAAGCACCGATTAAAACGCACGTGGGAGGGAGAAGAGTCAAGGGCAGGTCATTCACAACTCTAAATATCGGGTTTGGCGCACTCAAGCTTTCCGTTTGCTTTGAAAGGAAGAGTTTAGGGCTCGGGCTGAGAAAGCTCCAGCGCAGAGGGTGCTAGCGGCACGTGCAGGCGCACGCAGGGCTGTGAGCCCCAGCATGGCTCTCCCCCACTTCTGCAAGACAACCAGACCGCCGACGGCAAGGCAACACTGAGCTGAAGCTGGCTGTCAGCCTCACATTCTCTTCTTTCTCAACATGCAACTTCGATCTTTAAGCTTTGTGTGTGCACTGTGAGACATGCATTGAAAAAAAAAAAAGAAAGAGTGGTATTGGGTAATTATCACAGCAGTTGTGACATCCTTATGTAGCACCTCAACACATCAAGGGAAGCTTCTCCTTTCAGGGACAGAACATGAAGTGAAGAACGTGAAAATTGCCTACAGGGATGCCTCTCAAATCATTCCATCAGCAAAAAGGAAGCAGCAATGTCTGCTGGTAACAGCTAAAGATCACGTTCTCATTTTAGTGTTGCAGTTAACTCGTTCCCAATGGAGTTGCACTTACCGTGAGAAGGTTTCTAACTGCTTCAGCACTGAAAGGAAACAAGCATTGAGTCATTCAACTGCAGTTCTATAGGAAAACATGCTTTTTGGCCCATGAAGGGGAAGTATGTGGAATCTGCTGCTATAACCCATCCAGCCAAACATTTCCACACATTTTTTTTATAATGCAAACGCTGAAAGAAAGAATTTTCACTTTCCACACAGTGCTTTAGCTGTCCCTATACACGCATGATCATCAGCATGCATGTGCGTTCTGTCACGGACAGAGCACGTGTATAGGGACCGTGTGCACACTGCATACCTCGAACTGGTAAGGAAAGTTTTAACCAGCAGACACATTTCCCCCGACATCCAACAGCTATATTACTGATTTCATTCATAGATTATGATTATGTCTTATATAACTCAAAAGATATTAAGCTGATATATTACGTTTTTATTAAACTTCTGGAGGCCTTAATATGAACTGTCCCATTTTCTCAATTATTATTTAACTCCCAGAATGGTGATTCAGTATAAAGAATTTAATTTGACGCAATACAGTCATTTTCTGCATTAACCTCTAAGAGGGCCTACAACAGAATCCACAGCACAGGTAGTCAACGAAAGAGCAATAAAACCCGAAAAGCTTCCTTATAGCAAAGGTGATTTAGTGCAACGTTCTGAATAAAAGTCTTTCATAGTTATGAGACTTTTGGTTGATCCTAAAGCACGCACATTTAGTGCTAGGTGAATCCAGCAGCTAATATCGAAGTATATTAAAAAGAACTAAAGAGGCTGCCATGGTGAGCAGTGACAAATGTAAGGCTCTTTAAAGAGAGTGATTATTTTTTAATGAATTGTGTAAACAGGTTTGCACTTCAGAATAAAATCTGGAGCAAGTTATTTTGCAGTAGGGATTGAGAATTCCTTTTTCATTCAAAAAGGGTAAGAATAAAGAAAAATAGAAAAATGCTAAATCCAGCAAAGGTGAACATAAAATTATGATGTAATGTCAAGGTAAGTTTTCTTGAACTGTCACCTAGTTTTCTGCCTGGCTTAATCCCTGCTGTGAGCCTGTGACTGAACAGAGGTGTGGAAACCCCAAGTGAGCTGGACTCACACTGGCATCAGGCAGGTTTTTGAATGGAGGGTGCAGATTGTCACTACAGGTGAAATAGCAAAACTGGGGACCTCTGTATTTACTGGCAAAATTCAATGAGCATGCTGACAGACGTTCAGGACGGGGATCTACCCATATATATATATATAGATAGGTAGATAGATAGATAGAGACTAATCAAGGGATTCATACGGGTGATTAATTCATGGCATCAATACATAGACAGATGCAAACTCACCGACCCTTCCCCAAATAGGCCAGGGGCTGTAATGACTGGGGCTGAGCACCGTGCTAAGGTGCAGCCCAGCTCTGCAGAGAGGAGTGTATTGGAGAGAGGGGAATACAAATGGGAATTATGCTGGTATTTTTCCCCAGATGTGCAGATACTGACACACAACAGGGGAGGAAACTGCATTCAAATAGCTACAATTTAAAAAAAACCCACCTGTAATGTATGAGGATGCACATTACAACTGATGGAAAGTACATTTCTATTCTACTCTGAAGAGCAGATCAGCACCCAGAATATGCTGAATTGCAGATGTAACCTCCAGTCTTTCCTTTTCAATGATGCAGAGAGGTCCACACTAAATTCGAAGTGGACCGGCAGGCACTGTTGAACTGTGGCCTGAGTGAAGGGCACTGCCCTAAAATTCTAGGGTTATCTTGGAAAGCTCAGATGATATGATTTCCACAATTACTTTCAGTGCTCTGAATATTTAGCTCCCTACTCATCCGCTGCTGCAAGTATCTCAAATCAGTGAGCAATTAGACATACAATAGTTAACTTTACAGAAATATGATTGCTACTTAAATTCAGAAGGAGTGAGGATGATAACTTTTTAAACAAATATCTTCTAAAATGGAGCCAGAGGCATAAGTACATATAGTGACCTCACCTACTGATGGATAATAAAACTTAGAAAGCTCACGTGGATCTTTGGCTTTATTAGCATGAAGTAGACTGGCACTTCTTTTAGTTTAGCAACAATATTATTACAGTTTTTCCTCAGATAATATCAACCAACTACTGTAATATAATTTTTTTTAGATATATGCCTGAGAAAATTTAGCCTTTGGACTTCCTACTTACGTTTTACAGAAATGTCCATCTTAAATTTTAATTCACTGCACAAACAAAAATGTTTTAGGACAAGAAATGGAAGTTGTTATGGACTTCTGAAAACAAAACATTACACTGAGACACATCTTCCTTTTTGCAGGCTGTAATTCTACTGAAATATATTTTTCCTTTTGCTGTAATTAGCATGTGTCAGTCCTACATGTATTTTTAATGAACAAATTAAAAACATGAAAAGAGACCAGATCCTGATGCAGCACAAAACAAGCGCCCTAAAGAACGAGTTGCCACCTGGACCGAAATGGGTGATTTTTTCTGAGCTGAGTGTTCAGAACATATTTAAACACCTAATGGCTGCAAACTGGCAAATGAATGTATTTTTTTTCCCCATCCTGTGTCAAGACTGGATAAGTTGTGCATTGCTTTTTCACACGTCTCCCCCTAGGTAGCTCTTCCCATTGCAACTGTAATGTATTCAGCTCTGTCACCGCTGTGCTCAGCTACGAGAACGCCTATCACAGGGCTGCCAGGGACTAGTGTCTATTCCCTGTTCCACCTCCTTCCCCCAAAGAAGAGAGCATTTAATTGGACATCAGTGCATTCCTAGCAGCAGAACCAGGCAGTGCTTTCCACTTTGAGCTGTAAAGACCCGAGGCAAGTGAGAGCTGAGAGGAGAACAAGCTACACTGTCTCGTCTAAATGATCTTGGAGTAAATGTGGAGGGAATCAAAGGTCAAAGGAAAAAGTTAGAAAGGAAAAAGCAAGCCTGAGGTAGGGGAAGAATCAAGGGGGATGGGGATGTGATGAAAAAAAAAAAAAAAAAAAAGTCCTGTGAGAGAGAAGGAACCAATCTCACGTGAAACACAGTTTCAAAGTCTAGAAAGTTCCTTTCTCCCATTAGTTATGTTTTGGAAGATAAACGTGAGGCACTAATACTCCTTGTGTGTTGCTGTCACCGAAGGAAGGTGCCTGCACGGCATTGATTTACAGGGCATGGAGCCTGCTAGATTAGCTCTGGTCAGGCTGGGAACAGCTGTTCTGGGGGGAGTCAACCCACACCCGTCCCTGAGCAACCCCACGGTGTGACGCAGCACAACACACACACACCTCCTTGCCTGAGGGAGTATCAATCAGGCCTGACTGCCCCACTTTCCCCACACCAGGAGGTTTGAGTGCTCTTCAAACTTCCAGTGATGTGGAGATGAGCAGCAGGCTGCTAAGGCCCTTGTCCACCCACCACCTTGGGGGTGGCAGTGCCGATTCTGCCTTGCGGCCTGGCCCAGGGATGGTGTCTGCAGCCATGGGCCTGGGGAGGGGGATTTCCTAGGGTGGGAACAGGCAGGGCTGTCACAGAAGAGCAATTGGCAAAGGCAGGACTCCTCTCACTGTATTTCGATCACCTTGAATTTAAACATCTAGTTTAGGCCACTTGTCTGGGCTACCTCAGAGATCAGTGGGGAGAGACAAACACTGTCAGTGTGGGACTCGCCCTCTGACAGGCACATCTCTCTAACTGAAAACAACACTGAAAATTCTGAAACTTCAAAAGGTTACCAGTCTTGCTCTGAGGGTATAATCACTAGGGATTAGTCTGACACTACTAAGCTCTTTGCATCAAACAGCTCTCAAAACAGTGAATGCTATCAACCTGGGCCACCTACCAGAAACCTAAGAGCTCATCACCCTCCCACCACTCTCTCTGTATTGTCGCATTCCTCATACAAAGGAAGAATGAAATGCCATATTTAACTGATCTTGAAATAAACACCTAATTGTCACATACTAATATTTTGACTTCCCTAGCCGACTCTACCATAAATAGGACTAAATATGCACGTTTTCCTTGGTTAGCTCTATATTTACATACGTTCTTTGTCTTCTCTCATTCTATTGTTTACATTTTTGTTCAACTACCGGCTTTTCTAAGCTTGTGTAATAATCACAGAAATGAGGAGCAGTCTGATGCTACTTGCGATAATAATCCCCTTGTTTAAACAAAATTTTAAAGCTTTCTAAATAACAGGCAAAGTTGGGTGTATGTTTTGATGTAACATTGCTCTTCACTGTAACGCAACCTCAAGTAATAATGTCAGAAACTGTCATTCAAAGAGTGGCTCAATAACATGTACGCAGCAAAGCCTCATTCCCTGCTTAGTTTTCATTTCTCTTACCTGGTCTCTTCTGTAGCTATAAAGAAACCATCATCTGAAGCATCAAGCCAATTTTGCCTCTGCCTCTTGATCACTGGAATGGTGCTTGTCTTAATGGCACTTGCACTGGCCTGCAAGGCCTTACCATTAGTCATATGAACATGGGGAGCAGCATGCTGAAATCATAACAAAGAAAATGGGAAAGATGTTTGCCTGAGTATAAGCATAATTCTGTTAACTAATTCTCCTGTGAAGGGCAGCCTACACACAGCACCCTTCTCAAAAACCAGCCAAGTCTTCCTCAACCAGTAACTGGGGTCAGGTAACACGCTGTGCACGTTGACATGTTTTATCCACAGGTCTTAAGGCTCTTTAAAAGTTAAATTAACTATTGCTAATATTGCTATATGCCTGTTTATACAAAGAGAAATGGAGGTGTGACCCAATGCCACAAACTTAGCAGATACACAACAGAAACCCACTGAATTCACATTTTCTGAGCAAAAGCTCAGCATCCCCCAAAAAAGATATAGGAGTTATTTTTTCATCCAAGTATGGCATTAATTTAGTTTTAACACATCCATACTTCTCAATTCATAGGTCCTTACTCTGTCTTTTTAAGCAAAAGTCACGGAATAAGATGAGAGGCTTGGTCCTGCTGCTAACCTAAATGGAAGCAGAGTAGTAAAGATTTGTATCCCCTTGCTGGTGCCATGGTTGTTCGGTTTACTCACCAGTCATTACATATTAGAGCTGACTGCAGTATGTCTGCATTCATTTTAATACAGATAACATGAAACATAAAACAGTGAATTAATTTTCCACTAAACCTTTACCTGGAATAATTGTGGAACAAGAGAGCAAGTACTCAGGTGTAATGAAAGAAGCTGCCTTCTGATGTATACAAAGGAAAAGAGTGAAAATAGTGTTTTCCATATCGTCTATAGGTAACATTTTGGAAGAATATCCCACGATAAATGTAGTTTTGGAAATACGAATCTTGTTTCCCATATAACTGATCACCAGCAGGAGTAACAAATAACACTATTTGATTAAAACAGATATGATAGAAGACATTATACAAAGATGAAAGTTTGCTTACTTTCTGTCACATGGATTCAACATCATGCTTTCTTAGAAGAGGTACTATTTTCATGGTGAAATAATACCAGTATTCCACACTACCAATACGGTTTCTGTAATATTCCTAAAATGCACACAATCCTGCATATTCATGGAGTACCCTCAAATGCAGTTGCCAATGCCACAGCCACTGAGTAAGGAAGGGGCTGCTAGCACCCGCAGAGACTAGAAGAACAGAATGCAAAACTGCGGTCTTAAATCATGTCATAAAAACTTAACAGCCCAAAATAATCAACCAGAGCCTCATTTCTTCTTCACAATTCTTACACTTGCATTCAGTGCATTATATTCATACTACGTTACAACTTCCAACACACCCTGATCCACACCGTTTGCTCTCTTTCAGTAGGACAAATTTTATGCGTTCAACAAAGAACCCCAGCGTTCTTTATTTTAGTGCAAATAACTGAAAAATCTCCTCTATGATTCCTTAGATCTGATGTAACAAAACCAAACCAGGACAAAAAAAACAACAAGAAAAAAATCAATCCGAGTGAGTCACAGATAACTCTCTTACAGCTAAACTATCTTCCTTTATCTTAGAAACAACTACGGCTTATGGTGACTTTTTAGTTGCTGTTACACACAGTCTCTTCAATATTTGCTTGAATTTTTCCTTTTTTTATTCAGTGTCTAGACTGCAGTTTGATTTTCACTTTTGTGTGTGTGTGTGTTGCCTTTGGTGGAGAACAAGTAGTAAAGGACCTGCTACTAGAAGTAATTCAGCTGTTATTTAGAAGAAATTCAGAAGAAAATACATAGTTTGGATAAAATTAGATTTTCATGAAAGTACTTGATTGATGATCTCTTAGTGTAGAAAGTGGATAGTGCTCCAAAAGTGAGTAGGAATTCATGCATGAAAAATGCTGCCATACATCAAATTTCACAGCACATCCAAACTAATTATTTTTATCTGGCAATGGGCAGTGCCATAAGTTACAGAGGAACATTCAACAGCTCAAAGGGCAATTTTTTGCTGTGCTTCCCCAGCCAGACACGGGCTTAAGTTACATTAGATAACAGTTTGTATCTTTTCACAGGCTCCTTTCTAATACACCACTGAATGTTTCCTTTACTCAAGGCAGCACGTACAAACAAAAAAATGTTCAGGAGACATACAAGGTACAAAAAGTGCATTTCCTATGGCATAAACTCTGAAGAAGAGTCAAGCTTCATGGAAAAAGCATGTTTTTTTCATAATAATTTTCCTCTGGCAGCGACAAGATGTTGTTACTAGTTCTGAAATTCTGTTTTGTCTATTTTTATTAGACCCCAACTCTTAGGTCAGGCAAAAGATAACATTCCAGAAAACAGCACAAGGGTTACAATATAATCTCATTTCTGCTGCATCGTATCGGTTAGAATTGTCTCTTAGTCTCCTTCTCCCCCAGTGCTTTCAAGCAATTTGAAGAAATTAATTACATTTCACTTAAGGACAAGAGAAAATAAGATCATTGTTCTCCAGTTTGTGTGCTAGGGACTACATTATCTTTAATTTCCAGTTAATCAAAATAATTGAAGTTCTCTTACAATTCTGTTCATTAGTTTCTCTCAAAAAAATATATTTACCGCTGTGTATAAAAATGAGCATTAAATGCCACTGTCATACTAATATCAACACCAAGAGCAAAATAAACTTTCATACAAAGGACTTGGTTAGTGCTCTTTAATTTTTCCCCTCTAGCACAGTTACACTGGGAAGGTAACGAAAGCCTCAGGAATACTATCTGTATGAGCACAGAAGCCCTATCCATTCAAAACCCCTGCATGCAGGAAGCTCCAATAATTTCACCTTAACACTGCCGTGTGCAATTAGCAGCTGGCATCTTGATTTTGACTGTGTACCTCACTAATAAGCCGTGACGTGGTTCTGCAACAAAACCACCGGTATGAAGAGTCCGCAAACCAGCAGCAAATCACAGCGGCGAAGGGCGCTCCAGGTCAGGGAGCGTTAGATCCAACGAAGAACACAAATCCTGCAGTCGGCACAGTTGCTGAACAGGATGTCTGAACACATCCTCAGAGCCCTCGGAGACCAAAGGCAATCTTTCTAAGGTCTTCAACAAGGAGGAGTTTATGGGAAGATCGTTTGTTGTAACGGCTTCACCTGCCCCCTGCTAAAACATTTCTCTGTGGGTACCATTCTCAGGTATTTCACTCTCAGGTTAGATTTCTGAGAGCTGCAGGGGCATGAATTACCAATTTGCATTCACAAATGTTAATTTCCCAGTGAGCAACTGAGACACCTGCAACGTTCAATGAACGCCCCTTTCACGAAGGAGCTATGTAAGAATGTGTTTCTCTCTACTAAATCTGGAAGCAGCAGCAATCGGTTACTAATACAAGCTGTTGCTGAACTGTAAATACAGGCCTTTCAGTACAAGGTGCCGAGGCAGAAGGCTTTGCTGTGTCTGAGAAACAGGAATTAGCTGGGCAGCATCGCTATACATGTGATAGATGCTGTAGGGGCAGCTACCAGTCCAACACAGTTTGGATATTATACCAAGGACGCCTACTAAGATACTCCACATATACACCCTATATTAAAGTGGCAATTTAAGACAGCATCTTTATTATGGAGGGTAAATCTCCTATCCCCACTAGCTCCCACAGGAATTTCAAGCACAAGGATATTAAGATGCATGTTGGAAAGTCAAGGGCAGAATCCTGTACAAATTCAGAAATGGGACACTCATCCCAAGTCACGGTTGAGGTTCCCGTCTACACGTTTCTCAGCTTGTACTGGGATATCAGTGGCCAAACATTAATTCATTGAGAGACACTGAAGAGTCTGAAAAGCCCTTCAGCTTTGAAATACGTAACACCAACAGGCATCGTAAGTGTAAAAATCCACGGCGAATGTTTATGCTGTAGCTGAAAGAATGTTTAACTAGATTTTCATAAATTCGTAAGTGAACTTACATTTATGATCTCCTTAGGTTCTTCCCCATCCTTTCATAAAACAAAAAATTCCCATTGCCTTAAATTAGCTTTTTTTAAAATTTTTGTCTCGTCTTTAAACAAAAAAACCAAATCAAACTGAGCAAAAGCAGCTCACTATATGGAGGAAAAAAAAAATCACTAAAGAAATCAGGCATGCTGAGATGATTGGTAATAATCCATATTAATTGGTTCAATATATTGTGCACTGACCTAATTATAGGGGACATAGTGTAAAATGAGTGTAGAATTACGTTAAGTTTAAATCAGGTATTGATTGTGTTTTGCCACAGAGGGAGTGTTCTTACTTGCAAAGGCATTAGCACTGTTCCTCTAAATAAGCATCAAGGTTCGGGGTTGGTTTAGTTTTCTTATTTGAGATGAATGCAAAAATTACAAAACACAGTCTCCACACAGCATGGAGTCACAAACACTGATACTAGCATGCAGGCAAGCATTCATTATGGGCATAGAATTTCATGTAAGAAACCCAAAGGGTATTAAGAAAAAAAACCAAACAAACATTTCAAACAGATGATATACAAGAAATTAACCAACTAGCCAACACAAGCATTACTTTTGAACCTCCTAATTTGCCATCCAACATTTCACAAACCACCCAGAATAGATGTAATGCTGAAAATCCAAGTCAATAACCTTTTTGTGTGAGGGGAAAAAAACCCCCAAAATAAAACAACAGAAAAAGACAATGGCAGCTGACTTTCTAAAGCATCTGGACTACAATACTACAATGTTTATAGCCTCTGTATTTCATGAAGTTACACAAAAGCTGAATAAAACATGTCTTTAAAAGCAGCATTTTCATGTACATATTTACTTACAGAAATCAGTAAATCAGTATTGAAAAACTAAGCTAGGTGTCTATCCACAGAACAAGAGGAAATTTAGTTTACAGTTAAAACATCGCAGATTCCCTCCCTCGACCCTTAAAAAAAAAAATCTTGTTTATTTTTACAAACACGAATTTGAAACAAAAACGAGAGAGCCTCACTGTATTTAAACACAGAAGAATAATTCTCAGAAAAAATGCAGTTCTTTTTCCTTGGCAAAGCACACACTACTCATCAGCTTTGGTTTTAACATAAACCTGAACCTTCAGAGACAAGATCAGATTTAATACCTTACTTACGTTATTCCACCACCTAAAAACGCAACTGAAAAGGAGTGCAAGTATTTCACCTTGGTAAGACAAAAGCATTTTTACATGAAAGCATCCGAGGACTATCGAGATTTGTTTCTATGATTCTCACATTCTGCTAAAGATCATGCTTTAACTTTCTATCTGTTACAATACTGACCATAATCAGTCAGAAAAAGGGGACTTGATTTCAGCTAATTATTTACTGCAGTAGTCATTCAAAAATAGATCTCAGCAGTATTGCTTTATTATGTCTGTATCGAGTAGATAAGCTCCTACTGTTTCTAATGCATGGAATAGTGTATTTTCTGGCTTTGCTGACACGTTCTACCTACTCACTGGAGAGTAAGAAATTTTTTGTTACACATTCAGTTAGGCTTTAATTGCAGAGAAGAGTGGGTGCATTGTTATAACCTTTTCACACGAAACAGAATACTTATTTTTAATTGCACTTTTATTTATTTAAGTGCAATGGCCAATTACTGCACACTGACTGCAGAACATTAGTCGGAGCTGTCTTGAGTTGTCAGCAGAGAGGTCTGGAGAGGTTCACAACACAGGAACCTTGAGAAGACAAGTTATTTAAAAACCTCTCATCTCTTTAAAGTTTTGGTGGAAGGACGCTTTTATATAGGCAAAACCCCCATTTCTTTGGGTCAGTTTTTAGAGCTGCTTTGATACATTATTGGAAAAGAAACTGACAAAACGTGTTCTCATCAGAGTAAAATTAATGGGAAAAAGCTGAAAGTAAATGAAGATTGAAGCTTTCACCAGCTTCAGCATTAAAGCTTCGGCATTAACCTCTAGCTCTTTTCCTGACACCAACGCAGAAGTGGAAAGAAATACTGAACAAAATTTCAGTGTCTTCCAAAATTTTATAGCAGAGACATGGTTAAATAACTCTAAGCATCTTGTTTGGAAACAGGTCTATCTAAACCAAATTCATGACAAACAAGGATTACCTCACGCTCAGTAGAAAACACAACATTTTCCAGACATATCTCTGTAATTTTGAAATTTTACAATCTGCAGTCCTTATCTATTTCTTATCCATTTGCACTGTGTTATTAATGACTACTGATGATAAAGGCAACAAACTAAATTTATCCTTTTTTCCCTGTTAAATCAAGTTTGTGTGGGAATTCACATGTCCCACAAATGCTACATACAGAGGAGGTAATAAACTTGAAGGAACACCCTGAAAACCATAGGAATGAAAACAAGAAGGCTCACATCATTTTTTCTAGGTTTTATTCTAAAATTTCAAAGCTTGCCTCAAAAATTGGTCTTTTTCCAGAAGCAGTCAGCCCTCCCCCCAAATATCTACAGGATAGGCACGGATCATTCACAGGCAGAGAAAGATTTTCTTTATGTGAATTTTGTTCAGTCCTTAGATAAGGAGTTTGAAGAGATTGATACAATTTCTCACCCTATAAAAGCCCAAGATAGATACTAAATCTATGCCATTGTTATGCATAAAACATTTTGAATTTCATTTTTGAGGATATATCTATCGGTTTAAACATTTCTCTGTTTCTGGAACCCAAACGATCAAACTCCAGGTCACGTCAGAAACTGGTCTCACAGGAATGTGATGCAAGAAATTACTCACCTTATGTTTTGCACGTGAAACGTTCTCTGACACACACAGAATGCAAGAGTTTTATCAACATTAATTTGATATAATCAAGATTCACTTAAACACGTAACACAGAATTGTAACTGGACTTTTCACCCATTCAGGCTGACAGCACGGCTATTTCTTAAGCTATTCAACCTCACATTTTTTCCAAGATTTCCCATGAAATCCAACGGCAGACAGACACATTTTATCGTTACAGTGATACTAGGCTTTATAAGAAAGCATGCCAACGGCTTAGGGTACTACTATATCCACTTGGTTTTCAAAGGAAAAATGATATCTCTAGACTGATCGATACCTATATTCTCCTCTACACTTACCATTATTGTTCTTGCTGTATGGCTGGATGATTCTGGAAAACAAAAGAACCACAGTGTATTAGAGTATTGTCTTTATCCATAAAACCCCTCTGTTCTCAGGCTCTCCCTGAAGGCTAGGATGCCACTGTTCAGCTACAACAACGAACATAGCAGAAATGCAGAGATTGGAAAGATTTCTCATGAAACAACCATGCGAATCGGTACCGGTCCTGAAAATATAGGACAGACTATAGTACGCTGCTAACTGCACTCATTCTCTTTGCTTAATTATCCTCCTCTGCAAGAAAATATAAAAATGGAACTAATTCATAATTCATGTTTCAAGAAGTGCGTTGGTTTTTTTTTCATTTTGCTTTTAACATATGGCACCATTTAACATGGAGGATTAACTGCAGGAAAAAATACAAATAGTATCAGCAGAACTCCATTACTATTCCCATTTGAAAAAGATTTATAAAACTAGATAATCTTTTTTTCTGAGAAACTTGAGATGGGTTTTAGGTTTGAAACTGACAAAGTATATTGAGAGGTAGAACATCCAGAAATCTTAATTATTCTTTCCTATATAATAAATCAGGAGTCAGTCAACTACTCATGGTTCTATTCATATAAAATTGTTGAGGAATTACGACCAGGCCAATAGGTAACACAGATTTCATCCTGCTGTTTTACTTAAATTACAGTTGCTTTCCCCCCTCCCCCCCAAGGACAGAAATCTCATCCTCTCTGGCTTTCAAATACTACAGTTGTTGTGTCACAGATATGTTCCTTTTTGAAGCAGTATAACTTAACGTCCTCCTAACCAGTTAAAAAACCTGCAAGAATATTCACTGCTGATGTGTAAGATGCAAGATGATGCTACCAGCAGTCTTGTAAGACTTGCTCAAAAATTTGGGTAGGGCATTGTACACAGCTACAGTACGCAGGGTTCTTAAGGAAGAGACACGTAGGGACACCACACACAGTTCTGAGTAAAACACATACAATCTGCACGAATTCAATCAGCACAGTCTCAATTCTGCAAGCAAAATAAATAAATACAATGGGTTAGTTATTCCTGCCCCAGTTCCAAACTGCAGTTCTTATGCGTCCCAACTGGCATCACTAAGGGAAAGAATTCTTCAGGGGTTTTTCTATTGTTAAAAATAGTATTAAAGATATTACAAGGACACGGGAAAGAACAGCTGCACATCTCTTCCTGAAGAAATAGTAATTACACCCTGAAACTGTTTTTTCTCTTTCATTTTGAGGAGTCATCAACCAGTCTGAAGGTACAGTTCAATCACTGACAGAAACAAAAACATCTCAAACTATTTAGGAACTTCTTCAATCCAATATTCAGCAGTAATTCCTGTATCTAGTTTACATTTACATTTTCACAAATCTTCATCCACAATCAAATGTAATTTAAAAAAAAAAAAAAAATCAGTATCTGTATCTGGAACTTCCCACTGATAAAGGTTCTGCAATGTGAAAACCTATGTAAATACACCAATATTTTAGTTGTGAGCGTCTCTCCCAGACCTCTTTTCCTCTTTTTCTCACAAAGATTATCATATATAAAATACATTTAGGTCACCAGTCCTCCAGGCAAGTTTTAAACTGACAGTATAAAAATGAAATACTGTAACAGTTTACTGTTTCCTGACACCTGCCTGTATTTGGCACTGTTGTAAAGTAAGAGAAGATCACAGTGACAACTTTTTAATCTGCTCAATTTTTATCTTCACAGTAAAGTTATTTTTGTTATTACAAGTTTGTTTATTTTCTTGACATTCTAGTGAAATAATATTTCAGGACCTGAATGTCCCTGAGAAAACCTGCATTCATGGAGGTATGACCACCTGAATAACTCTTGAGACATGGACTCCTTCCATTCTCAAGCCCAACTACCCAGAAAAAAACCAACTCCACCCACCCATCTCCAGGAACACAACTGCATTTTCTGAGGAATCCTCAACTTCAGCAGAATTATCAGGTTAAACAAAAAGGACAGAGCTGCTTCTCTCTTGAAATATAGAGAAGATAAATTACACAGCACTTCCAGTCACCTCCATAAAGACCAAAAGTACCAAACAAAAATCCACACTTTACACTCAGGAACTACAGTAACAAAATCTCCGCTCTTAGAGCTGCTACACTTTGGGCATAGCTTTACATGCCAGATTGATAAAAACTATGCTTAACCATGATTATCCCAACAGACTCAGTCGCTCTCTGAGTTCCACAGACAACCGAGTGAAAGACAGAACATCTCCCTAAAGGGAATTGAGGAAAAGCCAAATGTACCTGGAGGCTGTTAAACTGTATTTTCAAAGATACTTTACACACTCTTGATGCAATGCCAACAGCTGGTAACTCCAGGGTATTACCACACTGATAACCTACTAATAAAACCAAGCCAAGAAGTGAAGAAAGATCCATTACATTTGTAGAGTAATATCCCCATCTTCTATTATACAGTAAAAACTTTCTCTGGTTTTGGCCTATTTTTTCCTTAGCTTTTATTGCTGTAGATACGCAGTATCATCTAAGGTGCCAAATACCTTTTAAAAAGAGCAGAGTATATCTATAAATAAAAAGCTAGAGCAAGAACAGTTTAATAAGTAGGCCTAATCAAGAGAGACCAGGATCTTGCAGAGACTATTAATCAACGTGCTGATGTTACACCATTTACACTCTTACATACTCTTGATACCCAAATATTCAAATTTTAGAACTGAGGAGACACTGATTTATTCCAGAAAATAACTACACCCTGATTTGGCAGGATTCTGACCAACATTTATGCATGAACACATACCAGCCAATTCTCTTCTGCTTCTGAGTAAGGCAACTAAGGGAGACAGCCCTTGATTCCAACCAAAAAGGCACACATGCAGCATTCAAAAGGTGTGTTTCACAACGCGTCTGCACACCCATTCAGCCTCCAATGCAGCATGAGGGAAACAGAGCTTATTGAAAAACCACAAATGTCTTGGTGTTCAACAGAACACAAAATAAAAATTTGGGTTTTCAGTTTTCTCTGCCAAATTTTAGAATTCTTTCAGAAATTTAAATGACCAGGCTCGAATTTCAGGGAAACTGGCACCAATGGACATCTGGTTTATAAATGAGAGCTTACAGCAAATGATTTTGTGCAAGGCAATAACCTGCGCTTGCACCTCAGCAGAAAGGAAACTCCAGGACGCTGAATGATTCTCCCCTTATGGCCAGTGTAAGTGCCAGTGAAGTGGAATACTCCACTTTAAAAGAGAAATGGCGAGACACTGTCACCAGTGAGGGGGGTTGGTGATCTGATCCGACTGAACTACAGTAAATGCAACTTCAGTACTGACAAGATGTTTAGAACTTTAATATTGTGGAGAAACTGGCGCACCAACCACCCAAGATGCTCGTATGGCTCTTCCTACAAGATATTTGAACTCAAATAGAAATGAATAAGTTGTAAAAAGAAATCTCACATTGTAAGTTGCTTTACCACCCATATTGACAGATCAAGGGTCTCTCCCTGTTAATGGGCACTAGGAGACTACAAAATTGCCAGTTTTATTTAAAACCATTTAAGGCTAAATCAGAAAAACTTGACTGCAATGGGATGGTGCCAGCTACACAACTATTTCAAGTTGATATCACAGAATCATAGAATCGTTGGGGTTGGAAGGGACCTTAAAGATCATCTAGTTCCAACCCCCTGCCATGGGCAGGGACACCTTCCACTAGAACAGGTTGCTCAAAGCCTCGTCCAGCCTGGCCTTGAACACTCCCAGGGATGGGGCATCCACAGCTTCTCTGGGCAACCTGTGCCAGTGCCTCACCACCCGCTCCAGGAAGAATTTCTTCCTGATACCTAATCTAAACCTCCCCACTTTCAATCTAAACCCGTTACCCCCTGTCCCCAGCAGCATTTCCTTCCCGCACACACCT